TCAATTTTATTATTTTTCACTACATCTGACCATGAATTATAATTATGTTTATTGGTAGGTATTGAATTTGATAATTCCAACAAATTAATTAACTTACTAGTTTTTTTCAATAATTCTTCGTGTTTATTATCAGATAAATCATTTCTGCCACTGGTAAAAACTTGAACTCTGGGCAAACAATTGTTACAAAACCACATAAAATTGGCAGCATCCTGTTTAAACTTAAGAAATTGATCTTTAACTTTAGCACAGTTCGAGTGATAATATTTACAGCAGAAATCGCACGTTATAAGCTTAGTATTCACAATTATCAGAGCACACCACACACGACCGACCTCCACTAGCCATGACTACCGATACCATTTCTTTCTGCAAACAGATATGCCAGAAAACGAAGCGATTTTAGGGTAAGCCCATAGAAACGTAAGTCTAAAGCTTTACAATGGTCCACAATTTACTTTTACTGCTCTGGAGTAAACACAGGTCGAAATCTACCCAAGAAATTAACGGTGCTGTCCGCTTTTAGCCTATTTCGAATGGTAGATTCATCATAGCCAAGAGTTCTAGCTATTTTTCGTGTTGATAGACCTCTTTCCTTTAAATGTTTAGCCTGCATAAAAACATCCTCTGTAAATGGTCTCAGGTTCTCATTTATTCTCTTATACGCCCTAAAAAAAAACGTAATTTTTACAAACAAAAAAACGTAATTTATACAAACTTAAAAACAAACTAAGTAAAATTCTAGATAATAAACAAAAACGTGCTTAATGAGACCAAAATCCACATGCGGATCTTTGCCCCTGCCGGCATGCGGACTTATACCCCAAAATTCACTATTAATTTTAGCTAGGCATGTTTGGAACAACCTAACCTCAAATGAAAGATTTTGGTTCTAAACATAATTACAATAAACTGGCTTACATAAATTAGTTAAAAGACTTTTTAGAAAAATAGATTAACACATATAATCTTCAAAAGAATGATTAAAAAAGTTAGATTAGAACACCAAAATTTAAAACTTACCTCATATTTTCGTTAACTACCGCCGCACGAAGCACGTGTATAATCTGCAGCGCTGTTCGAAAGGTCACAGAATAATAAACAATCAGAATGCCCACTCTCCATGGAAAATTAAGTACGCGCATCTCCTTCGCGCAGACGTTCCGCCATGTTTTAGAGGGACCCAGTTTTGTTTAATAAAAACTTATGTGGTGTGCATAGAAAAATTAACCCGGTTTAATTGACTTACGGCAATCATAGACATACTATGCAATTATTTTAACAGTGTTAAATATAATAACATACATATAATATAATTAAACATAAATATAAACAATTACATAATCTCACAAATCATATGCCTGTGTTATGTATTTCCTTCTGGTTTCCTTCTAAAACATGGCGCGCGTGCTGAAAAACTTCAAAGGCGGCATCTGGGAGTGGCTATTCTGATTGTTTATTGTTCTGTGGAAAGGTACTAACCGATCCATATGTGAATCAAGTTAATATATTGGCTCTGCCATCTAGAAAGCGTGTGCGAATTCTTACCCCATGCGGACATTTGCCCCCACCTACCATATATAGTTTTTATTTGAAGAATTTCGCGCCATTGACAGATCCGATTGTCACTATTTCCGAAATGTTCCGAAATCCCATAAATATTAAAACAAACCATACATTAAGTGAAATATGGAAGATAAAGATCAACGAAATAAAACCAGTTAATATGGTATTTAATAAATGTCACAACATGGAGGACACGCTTCTGGGTAAAGAGGAAGCAATTAGGAATAAAATTCAAAAAACACTACTGGTTACTCGGCCGTATATCCACCTTGTCATTATCTAACAAAATATTAGTATATAAAGCAATCATCCTGCCCATCTGGACATAGGGATGGAACTGTGGGGAACTGCAGCAGATAGCAACATCGCAATATTAGAGCAATTTCAATCTAAGGTTCTTCGTGCCATCACTGATGCACCGTGGTTAATTCTAAATGCAGACATTTACAGGGACTTGAAGATCAAGACAATAAAGCAAATGATTGTTAAAAGTAGAGATAAATATTTTACACGACTGGTAGAACACACCAACGAGTTAAAAGTAAATTTATTGGACAACTCCACACAGCTAAATAGATAAACCATTAGAACTGATTGACTTACCATTTAGAAAATAGATTTCTAGACTTAGATTTTACGTAAACCCACCATAAAATGACCCGTATAATTTTTTTATAGACAATTTAATATCTCCTCCATCATACTTTTAGAATAAATAATTATTGTTCACTTAGTTTCTTGTGTAGCGTTTACGCTACTGACTAGTCTAATTTAAACCCCTCAAGAAATTTTTATTACCCGCCTACGATCGATTTTAAATCGACATTTTTCCCCACGCGCTGTTATCGCTTTGAAAGGAAGATCGATTTTATGCGGAAGCGAAGTTTCAGTTTTGGTCAGAACTCGTAAACGCAGACACGCCGACCGGTGAGTCTTTTTCTCACGTTCAAAGTGACGGAATTGGGGCAAATAAAATCTAGGACAAGAATAAAAAAAATATATATAATTCATAAATAATAATAATAATAAGAAATTTTTCTAATAAAATCAATATTCATTTATGAGTTCCACATAAAAAGGAAGATTTTTTTGGCGTGCTGCAGCTCCATGTAAGTAAATCATTTCATACGTATTATCTCTTTATCATATAATCAAATTTATCATTGCAGTTTAGTATTTCTTTAGAGATTTATTTTTGAGTTCCGAAATAATTTAAATTTAAAATTTCCTTGATTTACTTGCAAAGAACAGAAGGTCATTTTTTTTATATAGTCAAACTTAAAGTCCGATCTATTCCATATCTTATCATTAAGTTTTTTTTGGTTCTTTTTTTTACCTAACTTTTTTGGTGGAATATAAAAGGTTCTACAAATGTGGACAGCCTTCTATATTCTGCGCATGTTCTTTTCATGGCGCAAGCTTGCCATGCCTACGAAAGTAACTTCATAAATTTGACATGATGTTGACTTAACCTAATACCTGATATTTTGATGTTTTGTTTTGGTGCAGTCAATCCATGCTGCTACACCTATTGAATTGTATTTATTAAATTAAATAATCATTTTAGATTCCGTCACGTGAAAATATTAATTTCACTTCACTTGAGGATATTCTCTTCAGAATATTCCCTCAAGGACTCAAGTAACTGAATCCTTAAACTAGTTAGCAACTTTATGTAACCCGTGGATTTTGCTGTCACCCAGAGACCAGTGACTGGTTGTGGTTTTGTGCCCAGGATTCGTCTTTACAGCCATAAACTGATTTAGCCGTGCCAAGAATAATTTTCCTATGGACTTATGGGCTGTAAAGATAAGTTGTTTAATTGTTTAACTTTTGTTACTATCTATTTTGTTACTATGTATTATTTGTTACTATATATCTAACTCATCATATGCATATGATAAGGTGATTACCTTTGTGATAATTTAATTTTTAATAAAATATAATTTTGATATTATTGGGAGAGGGAAAATACATTACATGTTTTTATTAGGTTTTTAACTAGGATTTAGAGAGTCTGACCAGAACTCATTTGCTTTGATATAATTTTTATACTAGCATACTTTTGAGATAATGTAATTGAGATTGGGGAGGGACATAAATTTAATGTGTTTTTTTTTTTTAATATGATATAATGAGTATGGAACAACTCATTTTTGGATGTAATATATTTAATAGAATTGTAACAGATTTATCACTTTTGATATCTTTACAATATTGTCATTAGTATCTCATATTAGTAGAACTAATTTAAATTTAAATGACTACCTTTTTGTGTTAAGACTTTGGCTACAATACGGACTATTCTTGTTGTTTACTGACATTTTATACTTTATTTGGCCAGTGGTAGTGATTATTCGTTTGTTGAGGGGCTATTAGGTCCCACTGTATGTGTACACCATCCACTACCACTGTTATTTGGCTTTGCATTATATGTAAATTGTTTATACACATATACCTATATACATTTTTTATAAATATATTTATTGTTGCCATTTTGAGTTTTATTTCAGTTCTAACCAGTATATAACATAGCAAAACAAGATTATTATTTAGTATTTTTGTATTTCAGAGTATTATCTCCAGATTCATTTGTTACTTCAAAATCTCAACTATCGTTGAGTTGGCGCCCTTCTTTTCTCTTCTTATTGTTCTCTTTCTATAAATTTATTCCCAGTGACCTTCTTCAGTTGTATCACGTTTGATATTACCAGGTCTCATTTCTTTCTTGTCTCATTAGCTCATTATCTCTTGTTATTGTTGTTTATATCTTTAAAGCCACAATCCAGCGCATTGAAGCTAGCCCGAACACTCACTTGAGATTTAGTGTCTCTTTGGCCATATAAATTTGTTCCTCTGAGCTTAGCCCTATTTTTAGTATTTTTTTCATCACTTCTCTTTCAGTTCTTCTGAAATTTGGAAGTTCTACACTTCCAACAACCCAATACTCCCGGAGTATTGAGCGTTTCACTTGTTAGAACTTATCAAATCATATCAAAATTGTTTTATAGTTTTTTTTTTAACTTTGTAAAGAGTACTGTAAATATATTTTTGGAAGATAGAAGGTAGAAGGTATTTATAAATATTTCAGCGGGCTCGAAGTTGTTTGACATACAGACTGGTTCCTATTTTCTGTCATCTAAAGTAAATGGCGCTACGTAGCAATAACACTCCGTAGAAGTTTGCTTAAGGATCCTGCCTTCCTCTCCCAGTCTGTCTTGATTCTGGCATTATCTGATGAGTTCTCAATTAGTTTTATTGACTAAAAATTGACCGCATGTCAGCCTAAATCCTTCGAAATACATTTACGACTTTGCAACAACTGGTTTGGTGGTTTGAAATATATTGGTTTTTTTGAAATATTTTTTCAGTGATACTAATTGCAATGTCTATTTTTAATTTATATACGCAAAATTTGTATTAAAAACACTTACTTCGTCTAGTATAAGCCATAATTATGAGTTGATTGACGCAGTTGACTTGCTCATTCACCAAAAATGGGCATTTACCGACTATGTACCTCCTATCTTGTTCTAACGTAAAAGAATTTAATGGTATCCTACTTAAATGAGCATGTATGATCGCTCTGGCTTTTATGCTGTATAAGTAACACAATGGACGTTCTTTATTTTTCTCACTCAGATTGGGTAGCTTTTTAATCAACTGCAAAAAAGTAAACGTATTAATATTTACATAAACTGTACTATATAAATTATTATGTGATCAATGGAACATAGTACTATAAAAATAATTGAAACTAAGCAAAAACAACTATGGGCAAATCAAAAATCTTGAAAAATGAAGTCGTAAACGAATAATTAATAAAGTAAAGCAAGGTTTTGAAAGTACTTGTGGTATGTTTAAGTTTAAATATTATGTTTTTTATGGGATAAAGTCACAATTATTGGTTATGATTGTGAAGAAAATCACATAAGTTATTAAAAATGTGATTTTTAACACAATCAATAATTACGGCTTAATCCCATAACGAAAACATAATTATTTATAAAGTAAGGTTTAATTGAACTGCTAGTAAAACACTAAGTAAAAAAATTTAAAAAAGGGAAAATATTTTTATATTGAGAAAATTATTTAATTTCACTGAACCTTAACATACTTTTAAATTCAATTCAAAATTAACAATAGAAGTTTATGTTAACTCTATATAACTAAATGTTGAAGGACTAGTCAAAAAATGCTTGAACATATATTCTGTCATACCCACTTTTTCAGGGACGGCTATTTTTTGCATATATCTGTGCTGTGTTCATTAAATCTACACACATATACGGAAACTACAGTTTAGCGTCGAATCTGAACGACTGAATATTGAGTGATTGTTTTTTTTTTGAACGGACACTTATTACAAAATATCGCAATCAGGCACTATGTCCATTATCTACAAATCAACTTAACGATGAAAAATTAAAAACAGGCAATTCCAACAATATGGTGAAAAATCAGATAAGCAAAAGAAACAACTGAAAATCTTTAGAGATTTTTTTAATAGTGTTACGATAAATAATGACTCATATCTAAACTGTAAACATCTTTTTCTAACAAGTATTTTCTAGTAGATTCTCCGCTCCGTTAAAAAACCTGTCTGTCGTTCCACCCTATTCGGAAAGGGTCAACATAGAGGCGTGAACACAGGAGAATACGAAGGGATTCCAGAATAGCGGCTGTTTTTATATATATATATATATATATATATATATATATATATATATATATATATATATATATATATGTATATATATATATATGTATATATATATGTATATATGTATATGTATATATATAATTATATTTTTCTCACTTAGAACACTTTTAAAAAAAAACTTTATTTTTGAAAGTATACAATTTACAGACTATGCTTAATTAATGTTAACAATTATAGTTGAACGTAAGCTAGCAAGTGACTCTAATAGAATGAATGTACTTTTTTATTTTAAGCTGTATTTATAATGTTTTAGGTAATAACTTATAATCTAATGGTGTTGTTGGCTTCCTTCGGTGTGGTCTTGGCGGAGGTCTCGTGGCGTTGGTATTGCGTTGCGTTTGTCTAGGTGTTATGGTTACGTTTCTCCTCCTTCCTTGGGATTAAATTCCGTCCTCGGAATTTCGAGAAGTTCTTGAAGGGCTGCTACTTGGTGTTGTGGCATTTTGGGTCCAAATAACAGTTTGTAGATTCTTCTTCTCTTGCGAATTGCTATGTATAAAATTAATGCTAAAACAGACATGATTAATAATGTGAGGATGAGGCTGATGCTGGTTGTCATCAATGGCTGTAGATTTGTCGTTTCGATGGGCTCGAGTCGGTGATGGGTTCTTGGAATTTCCAATTTTTCTAATATAAGTGAATGTTTCGGGTGAAGTTTCATTTGTATGATATTTGGCATTTGCAGTTCTTGGATGGTCTGCGGGTTTATCTTTTGTCCCATGATGTATAATGTTTCATCTGTGGAAATCACGCTGGAGTGGTTGACAGTGATTTCGCCAATTTTAAGGGGTTTTGCTAATCCTAGTAGAACGACGTGGTCAGTCTCTATGATGAAGTTTTCTGTAACGTGTGCAGTGAGGCATCCTTGTACGTCTGGGATTTGACATTTTGAGTAAACTCTATCTTGGCAAATGATGATGTTAGATTTTGGCGTGCAATTTTCGTACCATGTGTTATTTGCGTAGTACTTTGCAGGTGGGATTATCATTGCTTGTTCATTGTTAGGTATCGAATATATTTTGGAAGTTGGGTAAGAGTGGACGTGGAGAATAGGAATTTTTAGGATAATAAGCATACTTGTTTGAGTTATACATATTACTGAATGTGAGGCTTCTAAAAGTTCATAGGGGTGTTCTTCATTGAGTATTAGAGCGTCTCGAGGATAAATTGAGAGAAGTGTGTTTTGAAGATTAAGTATCTCATGTAAGGTAAGAAGTTCGATATTTGGAATATTGGATTGAGAGAATGTTATTGTTCTTAATAGTTTTTTGATATATTCGTTTATGCTTTGTATTTCTAAAATTTCGTTAAGTATGGCTAATTGTTTGGAAACATGATCTATTTCATTTGATATTAGGGCATTGTTATCATTTAACTTTTTAAGAAGTATGTCGAATCTGGTATTAAAGGTTTCGCCATAAGAGATTTGATTGTTATACTTTTTTATTATTTCGTTTTGTTTAAGCTCGACTGCAGCGAGATGAGATTTGAGGAGTTCGAAGTCTGAGTCGTCGGGATTGCCGGTAATGTATTTGATAGTTGTACCTAAGAAGTTGAAAAGACCTCGTTTTTGTATTCTTTTTCGTGTAATTTTGTGTAAGTTATCTTCTGCTTCTTTTAGTAGGTGAATAAATTGGTTTTTTAGAAGTTGTATCAAGGGTATGTTTGGTAAGACGTTGTCGAAGTTGTCGCTACTGTTGGATAGTGTTTGTTGGAGTTTGTGTAAGTCAATTTGTAGTATGTGTTTGTGGAAATGAGTTATGATTTTTGAGTCTCCTATTGATTCCGTATAGTAACCATTATTGGGTATCTCTTGGATTTTGACCAGTGCTTGCAGATGTTGAAGGGCCATCCTGTAAAGAGGATTTTTTGTAGTGTTTTCTTTGTCTTTTAACGTATTTTAAGTGTGTACTAGTTTTGTTATTTTTTGCCGTTAGGCCAGTAATTTTTGTTTTGTTTTGTGAAGTGGGGGTTATTGTCTGATATAGAGGGTCTAGTTTGGGTTGAATTTTCTTTTTCTTTGCGTAAACTTTTTGTGTGATTGTAGGTATTTCTTCTGCGTCTTTATTTACTTTTTCTAGAGCTTTGTCTCTTTTTTCTTTTGTTTTTGTGTATATGTGGTCAATAAATGGAAGTAGTTCGTTTTTATGTTGTTCATTATAAGTTTCATAGATGGGTAGGTCAAAGTCAAAATTAATTTCATTTAGATAAGGGCCGTAAAGTATTGAAAATGGTGAATAACCTGTAGAACTGTGAATCGATTGATTGTACACAAGGACAGCTTGTGTAAAGGTGTCATCTAGGAGTTTTGCGGATTTTGTGCTTTTAATGTTCGAATTTTTTCTAACAAGGTTGAGTGGAATCTTTCGACTGGGGAGTTTGATGAAGAATTGTTAACAGTGGTTGTATGAGTTTCGATCTTGTGTAGATTCAAGAATTCTTTGATAACTGAGGAATTGAATTCTTTTCCGCTGTCGAATACAATTTTCTTGGGATGGTTATGGTGTGAGAAATAATGTCTAATTTTGCTTAAAATCGATACGGAGGCTTTGTCTGGAAGTTTGTAGCATTGGGCGTATTTTGAAAATGAGTCGACTAATGTTAGGTAATAAGATTTATTGCATTGTAGTATGTCTACATGTAAAATATCAAATGGTTTCTGTCCTAATAGCGGACCTAACTGAGGTAGTTTGTATGGTTGGCGTTCATATTTGTTTTGTAAACAAATATCACATTTGTTAATAAAATTTGCTATCGTGGTTTGCATTGAGGGCCAGTAAAACTTTTGTTTTAGATGTTTATATGTTTCAATTATGCCGTTGTGATTCATGACATGATAAGTTTTTGTACATTCTATTTGTTTTTCTTCGCTTTCTATATCTTGTAAAAGTTTTTCGCAGAAATTTGCTTTAACAGTATTATCTATGTGTGTTCTAAAGAAGTTACATATGAAGGGTTGGAAACAATGTGGAGTTTTTATGCCGAATTTTTGGCTTGGTTTTAGAATTGCTTTAAATGCGTCGACAAGACAATCTTGCCAATTTTCAGTAACGTGAACGGAGTATCTATGTTTTTTAAATACTCTTTTGTAAGTGACATCGTATTTTTCGCTGTTAGGAATAATTATTATTTGATTAGTTGATAAATTTAAGGGTTCTTCTGATATAGGTATGCCATTAATAGGGTCTTCTAATGAAGTGTGTTGTGTTTGGGTTTCATCGAGATTATTTTGAATATTATCGAATGTATCTAAGAATTCGTCTGGGTCAAAGTCGTTAGTATTTGGTGGTTCGGCTATAATTGAAGATTTTGTAAGGGCATTAATTTGTATTCTAGATAGGGCGTCGCTAACTTGATTGTCGCGACCTCGGCGATATCTAACTTCGAAGTCGTAGTCTTCTAATTTTAATCGCCATCTGGCTAAACGGGATGTAGGATCTTTTATTTTATAAATCCATACTAAAGGATTATGGTCGGTTTCGACTATAAAACGAGTTCCATAAAGGTAAGGTCGGAAATGTTTACAAGAATCGATGATAGCGAGTAATTCACGTTCTGTTGTGCTATAATTTTGCTCGGCTGTATTTAGAGTGCGAGAATGATATGCGACGGGATGACCGTCTTGGGTTAACACAGCGCCTAATGCGATGTTGGAAGCGTCGGTTGTCAATGTGAATTGTTTTGAGAAATCAGGATATTGTAAAACTGGAGAGTTTGAAAGTAATTCTTTGCATTTAGCGAATGCTTCTAGATAGGTGGAATTTGTTGGGTCAATAATCGCATTTTTTCTTGTACAACGTGTTAGGGGAGAAGTAATTTTTGCAAAATTTGGGATGAAGCGTCTGTAATATCCGATTAGTCCTAAGAAAGATTTTATTTCTTTTATTGTTTTGGGAAGTGGATATTCTCTAATCGCTTTGAGTTTTGCGGGATTTCGTTT